TAGTGAATTCTCTTTTCTAAATAGACAAATCACTTCTAGATTTTTGTTTTTTATCTTATTTTTGGATAGCAGGATTTCTTTAGATGGGATATACCTGTTTGGAATCCTAATCCTCTTGTCTCTGCTTAAAACATGTCACGGTGTGACTGTCCGGTGGGCGAATGCTGGCGTAGCAAACAAACAGCGAGAACAACAAAACCCCCTTGTTGTGACAGGTGTGAGGGGGCTGAGACTTCTGGGTAGAAGTAGCCACTGACTCCTGGGAGAAAAAGGCTGATTTCACTGATCTTGTTCTCCGCTAGGGCTTTAAGGGTAATCTCAAAAAATGTTTAGGTTAAAATGAAAGCAAAAGTGCTCATACCATAATAAGAATCACAATTACAACCCTGGGGGAGCAATGGGCAGTGGATTTGACAGAACCCTTTTAGCATGTCTGTTTTTGATAATTTCTAACGCGAAGACTGGCGCCTTTGAAACTAAATGGTTGGTCCAAAGCAGTGTTTTTAATAATGCAACTGAGACCTTTTTGTCACGTAGAACAGTCCTTTTCTGGTGCTGACTTTGAGGACTGAATTGATTTTTCATGAGTTCATAAGGCTCCAGGCTACTGTTGCAGCCAGTTCTAGTTTCTCAGGACTTTTTCTTCTTAAATGTGTAGGGTGATTTGTTTTAAGCGTCTTGATACGAAGGAGGTTTTGAGAGCTCTATTTTCTCTGGGGTCACCATCTGAAGTGTGATTCTGGGGAGTTTGAGACTTTTCCAGTAGGCCTTTATGAGTTGGACTGTTCTCACTTTGCTACCAAATACTCTTTCTTCGTCTTCCGTTTTCCTTGCGTACGCCCCGTGTACTGCAATGTGCACACAATCACCAAACCAGGAAGGTAAGGGGGAGAAGTATATTTCACTCTTGAGAGAAGCACCTTCTTAGAACCGCAGGGTTTGAATGAGGGATGAGACTGATAGCTCTGTTTTTCCTGTTCATTTCCAGGAAAGGGTCATGAGTCTCTGTGCACCCACTTGGGCTCCTAAAAGGATCTAGCTTCGTGAGTCTGGTTGCGGGAAATAGGGTCTTACCTAACAGAAGTGGAAAGTACCGACTTCATCATTATTAGCCTGTCTTAGAAAGCAAACTCAGCCTCCTTATTCTCTGAAGCATCTCCCAAATACTCTAATTCACACAGATTGCCTCCACTCTCCAAACTCCTATAATAGTATGTATTTGTAGCAGGAAAAAGTAGAAAATAGCTTTAAGCTTGCCTTTCCTTCCCAACATTTTATTAATGTTGTAACTGCAAGAATTGAAGAATATCTGACATTTACTGATATAACTACTTTTAGGGAGGAAGGGAGGGAGGGAGAGCCGGCATATGGCTATTTTATAGTTTAGAAGATGTAGTGTAAGTGCTGAGACCACTGTAAAGGTAATTGATAAGAGGAAAAGCTCTGAAAAGCAGTTGTGATGACCGGTATGCATGTCTGTCACCCCCACTACACTGAGATCCATGAGAACAAGGACTGTTTTCATCCTGTTTGCACATTTGCCCACAGTGCCCAGCATACAGCCTAAGCAAGCGTTTGTTGAATTAAATGATTGAGCAAATGAACGCAAGAGCCATGTAAATTATTTGGAGGCCTCTTCTCAAAAGAAATGATACTGAAAAATATCAAGTGTGCAGCCCAGATACTCAGAATTCATTTGGACAATGATGCTTTACTCCTGGAACTTACCAGAGTTTGGGCATCATGATACCAGGAATCGTGGAAAGAGTGACAGACATGGAATGTTGGTCCAGTAAAGAAATCACGGGAAGCTGAACATTTTTCCAACTTTCTTCATGTCGTATTGGCGTTACCCCTGTTACTCACCCCCTCCGTTGGAGTTTATCAGCCTCGCATTAATGCGTCATTTGCAGAGGTGGGGAGTAGGAGAAATGAGCTGGCTGTAAGTAAGATTTCTGCCCTTTTCGGATAGCTAAATCTGCAATGGTTCATTGCCTATTGGTGGGATTCTTCAGGTCATAATGTGTATGCACAAGACCCCTTTTCCCCCCTTCATTAAAGGATAATTGATTGAGGTCGGAAGATTGGAGAGTCCTGGGAGATTTTTAATCCAGTGCCACCATGCAAAGCTTACTGCATCAATAAGACAGTTCCATAGGGGAACGGAGGAGTAATTGAGATGCGACACCAGCTGGAATCCAGATGAAGATACATTTGGAAGCTTAATCACAATCATGTTCTACACTAAATATTCATCTGTCTGTCTCCCAAAGAGGACAGGAAATTAAGTTGTCAAAGGCAAGGGGGGAGTGAAGGTTTAGCTGAAAGAAGAAACCCACACCTTCGCCTTCATCTCTAAATATGCAAGGCTGTCTTAAATGGTTCAAGCAAAAACCTCTTCTTTCCAATTTTATTTCCTGAGAAATATTTGAGCCGTTTACACACAATTTATCAGCTTTTACAGTTACCGAAATGGACTGTTTAGATAACTCAGCCTCCATACTGTGGGATACATACAGATGAGCAACGCCATCTCAATAGAAAATGCTTTATTGGGCCAATAGAGGAGAGTGTTAAAGTTGTGTAAACGTGCAGGGAGAAGCAGGGGTATTCCTAAACAGAGCTGGCAGGCTGGGATTGCACACGCCTTCATGTGCTGCTGCCCCAAATTTGAGCTGAACCCTGGATGTGGACACTAGCGATTATATTATGTGTTGTGTGCTTTCTTTCCTTTTTATTTTTTCTTTCCTTTTTCTTTATTTCCAAGTTAAACTCTTTATGATCTCATCTAAATAGTCCCGTGGCATCTACATTTTATTTCAAAGGGTGATTTGAAAAATACGTGTTGTTGCCATACATTGATATTTTTCCTTTGAAATTTTGACTCAAGAATGTGAATCAAACATTGGCTTTAGTTAAGAGAGACAGTGAAGTTCAGTGTTATATATGGTTATGTGAGGAGCTTGTATTAGGCAGGGTACTTTTGGCTGCATATAATAGCACAATCCCCATTGAAATTAGTTTTCATAAGGTAATGTCCCATCTCACATGGTAAAGAGTCTTTAAGCAGGGGACGCTCCAGGTATAGGATGTTAGGGTACCTGCTCTGCTCCTCTTGGTGTGCTGCCTTCCCGAGCACGCTGACACTATCCTGTGACTGTGTCCGACATGGCCATGGGCTGTCCCGGCCATCGTGTCCTGATGCTTCAGTCTCTAGCAGAAGGGACTCATCTCTTCTCCATGCTTTACTCTTAGGGAGGAGTAAACTTTTCCTAGAAACTCGTTGGTTGATTTATTCTCACTCAAAATCAACCTAGGCCAGCCCACTGCGATTATTTTATGGCCATCTTTGCTAGGACGTGGTGGTGGGGACACACCCATTCTCTTCATACCCTCTGTGATATGACCAAGACGAAGCTACTGTTGACATCACTGAACTCACGTGGTACAGTGGGAAGAATGCAGGCTGTGCAGCCAGACAGCCCCGTGTTTGAATCCCACCGTCATCCCTAGATAGCTGGGCAACCTTGGCAAATTACTCAGCCTCGGTGGGCTTCACTGCCTCCTGGTAGAATACGGGTATGAGGCCTGATCTCAGAAAGAACTTGCGAGAATCACAGCATGGAGCATGGGGTGGGTGGGGGCCCCTCCCAATCCTTATTCCATGTCCACATGTGCCTTTTCATACAGCGGATCTTAGTGCCAACTCGCTAACTAATGGGCTTCTTTTTTAATCTAGGTATAGGTCTTCTTTTTGTAACCCAACTTCTCATTTCAATGTATACTATAGAGCAAGTGTCCTCAAACTATGGCCCGCGGGCCACATGTGGGTGTTTTTGCCCGTTTGTTTTTTTTACTTCAAAATAAGATATGTGCAGTGTGCATAGGAATTTGTTCATAGTGTTTTTTAAAACTATAGTCCGGCCCTGCAATGGTCTGAGGGACAGTGAACTGGCCCCCTATTTAAAAAGTTTGAGGATCCCTGCTATAGAGTATAATTTAATTGATTTATATGTCTATACCTGTATTTGGTATGAATGTATCTCATGTATGTGTATATATAATAAGTACATATAGATGTTATATATACATATACACACACATTCAATCAACAGTTACATATATTTTTTTGAGACAGAGTCTTGCTTTGTTGCCCAGGGTAGAGTGAGTGCTGTGGCGTCAGCCTAGCTCACAGCAACCTCAAACTCCTGGACTCAAGCGATCCTCCTGCCTCAGCCTCCCGAGTAGCTGGGACTAAAGGCATGCGCCACCATGCCCGGCTAATTTTTTCAATATATATTAGTTAGCCAATTAATTTCTTTCTATTTATAGTAGAGATGGGGTCTCGCTCTTGCTCAGGCTGGTTTCGAACTCCTGACCTCGAGCGATCCGCCCTCCTCGGCCTCCCAGAGAGCTAGGATTACAGGCGTGAGCCACCGCGCCCGGCCAACAGTTACATATTGAGAAGATAGCCTATGTTCCATATTAACACTACTCAAAGTGTGGTCTACAGCTGTGGTCCCCAACCCCCAGGACACGGGCCAGTACCAGTCTGTGGCCTGTTAGGAACTGGGCCGCACAGCAGGAGGCGAGCAAGGGGCGAGTGAGCAAAGCTTCATCTGTATTTACAGCTGTTCCCCATCACTCACATCGTTGCCTGAGCTCCCCCCAACCCCCATCCCTGGAAAAAGTTGCCTTGCATGAAGCCACTCCCCGGTGCCAAAAAGGCTGGGGACCACTGGTTTGCAGACTGGTGCCAGTGGGCCAACTGTGTATTAACTGGTCGGTGACAAGAAGTTGAGACTGAGCATTTAGACGTAATTTGTTGTAATTTGACACTACTAAGACATCCTAGCCCATGTTCGTTTTTCTGATCATTCTTAATTCTGTTCTACAAAAGTGTTAGTGCACGATCGATTGGAAATTTTTGACAAACCCAAACCCAAAAGAAAACACCCCCTTGCCCTCGAGGATCCTTTGAGAAGCGTGCTAGGACGGACTCGTGTTGAGGACACCCCTTGCCCTCCAGGAGCTGAGGGTTTATTTATTTGGAGCGAGGAGAGACGATCACACGAAGTTGTCAAACACCAGCGCAAGCACAACCATGAGAAAGAGTGTCATGAGGCAGTCGTAAACGGCCCAGTGCCACATCAGGGGCTGGGCTAACACCTGCTGCAGGTGCCCGAAGGAGGAGGAGGAGGCCACGGCGCGGCGTTTGCCGGCTGAGTCTTCCTTAAGCAGGTGGATTGGTTTTGATTTCCTCTGCATCCTGAGCCTCCTGTCCCCGAGCCCGCTCTGTCCCCTGTCACTCGGCAGCCCGGCGGGTGGATCTCCTGGGGAGCGAGAGCCTGTGAACGAAGCTGGGTGGGGTTACGTGTCAGACCGCCGGGGCACGCGCTGACCGTCCCGTCCCGCTCCGCCAGCCTGGCCGGGGCTTTGATGTCAGCACGGGACACGTCCGACTGCTCGGGACACCGTGTCGTGTGTGAGATCAGTGTCGGGGCTCCATCCTAACGCTTTATTTAGGGGGGGTGGGAGGAAAGAGTGTGTTACTTTTCTATGTCAAACCTGAGACCCTAACTCCCACTGAGCACTGCTTGGGGACAAGGCCCGAGCCTGAACGCAGGCTTCTCTCCTTTGAAAAACGCGGCTCATACCCCCTGGGATAATGGCCATAGTCTCAGCTAATGAAAAGAGCTGTGGGCCAGGAGGCATAAAACCTCCACCGGCAGCAACTTGTGGGAACTAGCCAAGCCCCCAAATGTCCTCCTCTTTATCAGTGTAAATGCTTATTAATTCTTGACTTCGTAGGTTTCTTAGCATTAAAAAGTGGCCATTAATGCTTGTATGTGTCTCATGGGAGTATTAGTTGCACTGAGATAATGCCTGTGATGCTTCTTTAGATGCAACAAAAGATAATAGGTGAACAGACAGGATAGAGATGGGAGAGTGGAGAGAGGGTGCAGTTAGAGACCTGTGCTTTTAAAGAGATCTTGGGTAATTACCAGCAGTTTGCCCCACACCTAAAAACACTTGTGTTTTGCTTGTCCCACCATGAGCAGGTGTGAATCTTGGGGTTCAGGCACATATTCCACCCAGAAAAGTGTCCAGGCATGACCAAAACTCTTTGCCATTTGTGACCGTGGCCCTGAGTGACGAGAAACCTGCATTTTGCTCTCTGCTCCCGGACGAAGGTCGTCCGATTTAATACCGAGTGAAATCTCTGAACGTCAATAAGCCACATTCATTTTGACATCTAGACTCCTGTGTAATTAAGACCTCGGGTCTGGCACTTGGTTTATCAGCATGTATCGATTCTCATTTACATAAGACTTGGGTTATTCCCACATCTCTGCCCAAACACCACCACCAAAAATAATAATAATAATAATAATAATACTATTAACAGTGCAAAGGCTGAGAATAGAGTTACAGCCCATCGTGTCTCTAATCCACTCTTAATATTTGCCTTAAAAAGAACATTGCCCTGTGCGTTTAGATGTTCTTGATGCCAGGAGAGGAGACGTGGATATTCCACTGCTTTATTTTGAGCTTAAAAAACGTCCGATTTCGTGCCCCTCATTCAGTCTGCAGGGTGGTTTCTGCATCTGTTCCTTAGAAACAAAACGCTGTAGCTGGATGCTAAAAACTGAGGCTGGCCTCCAGGATCCCCTAGGTGTGTTCTTCTCGTGCTGTTTGTTCAGGCTGAAGTGGGTTGAGTGTAACTGGATCCTACAAAGGAGGAAAGTGACTTCTGGGGCTGCTAGAAACCGTCCTTCCCTCCCTGCGGAGCTTTCTCCGGGGCCAGGGCAGTGGGACCCAACGCCCTGGAAGCCTCTTCTGCTTCCAGTGTTAATGGCTGCAAGGCAGATGGGTTTATTTTTGCAACTCAGATGAGAAAAGCCATATCCGAGAGAAGCCAGGGCGCTTTCGCAAGACCACACATGTCGTCGGTTATGTGACCCGGGAAACAGGACAGCCTTTATAGGTCTTCATCGTCACATCCATAAAATGTGCTCATCTGTAAAATTAGGGCTGGGGAAAGAAGTCTCATAAAAAGTCTCAGAGAAAGGAGATGTTGGAGTTTATATAACAGGATCGCAGACCCTAAGGTACCATCTGATTTAAGTAGAAAACCATCAAGAAAAGACGGAAGTTTGTGGTCACTTTCAAGGAATCTCTCATTCCATCTCTACCACTTACTACTGTGTGACCTTGGGTAAGTGACTACACCTCTCTGGGCCTCAGACAGCTCATCTTGGAAATCGATGGTTATGGTATATACTTTGTAGTGTTGCTGTGAAGATTAAATGAAATAATTCTGATAAAGTTCTTAGAAGAACACTGACATACAGTTGGCACTCAATGCTACCTCGTAGTAGTAGTAGTAGTAGTTACCACTGCTCTTGCTATTATTTATCAAGATGGCTGTCCCCTCTGATTGAGACAGTAACAGTGATTGTCTCCACTATTGCCAGGCTGTCTCCTTATGGCCTCTCCTCAGTATCTGTTGAATGCTGGCAGTCGTAGATAGCTCTAGGAGGCAGCCGAGAATCTCAGTCAGTGGTTCTCAGCCTCAGTTCACAAAACAATCATCTCAGGGAACTTGAAATAATAGCAATGCGTGGGCCCCATGTGTAGAGGTTTTGATTTAGTTGATCTCAAGTCCAGCTGGGCCTCCAGAGTTTTAAAAGCTCGCCGGGTGATTGGAATGTTAACATTTCCCTGGGCCAGTGGAAGACTGTTAATTTCAATATTGAAAAACAAGACTAATATATAAATGATTTAATGGTCAGCTAATTTTTTGACAAAAGCACTAGGAGGACACAGTGGGGAAATTATAATCCCTTCAACAAATGGTACCGGGAAAACTGGATTTCCACATGCAAAACAATGAAATTGGACCCTTACCCTATACCATGCACCCAAATCAACTCAAAATGGATAAAAGACCTAAATGTGAGACCAGACTCTAAAACTCCTACGAGAGAACAGAGGGAGGAAGCTCTTAGACATTGGCCTTGGCATTGGTTTTTTAGATATCACACCAAAAGCTTGGGCCACAACTACAAAAAATAAATAGATGAAAATATGTCAAACTAAAAAGCTTCTGTCAGCAAAGGAAACAGTCAACAAAATGAAATGGGAGCCCACAGATTGGGAAAATTATTTGCAAGCCATATATCTGACACAGGGTTAATATCCAGAATTTATAAAGAACTCATACAATGCAGTAGTAGAAAAACATCCTGATTGAAAAATTGACAAAAGACCTGAGTAGACATTTCTCCAAAAAAGACATAATCTCCAACAGGTATTTGCAAAGGTGCTCAGCATCAATGATTATCAGGGAAATGCAAATCAAAACTACAATGACATGCCACCTAGCACCCCTTAGGATGGCTGTTGTCAGAAGTCAAAAGAGAATTGTTGGTAGAAGTGTAGATTGGAGCTGCCATCATGGAAAACAACAAGGAGGTTTCTAAAGAAATTCAAAAGAGAACTTCCATCCTCCGAGCTTATACCCAAAGGAAATGAAATCAGACCTAGTAGAGGTAACTGCAGTCCCACATTCATTGCAGCATTATTCACAACAGCCAAGATACGGAAACAACCTAAGTGTCTGTGAGTGGCCAAATGGATAAAGAAACCGGGGTATAGGGAGGCTAGAATGTCATTCAGCCCGAAAGTAAAATCAGATCTGACCATTTACCACAATGGGCATGAGCCTGGAGGTCGTTATGCTAAGTGACATAAGCCAGACCCAGAAAGAAAAGCACTGCATGATCTCACTTACATGTGGAATCCAGAAAAACAAAAAAATATATATATAATATGTACAGAGATAGAGAATAAAACGGTGATCATTAGGGGCAGGAGAAGGTGAGGGAGGGAATGTGGGCAGAGGTTACAAAGTAGCAGGTGTGTAGGATGAGCAAGTCTAGAGATCTCAGTGTATCAGGAGGACTAGATTCTGCCGTGACTGGGACTCATGCTGAATGAGTAGATCTTGGCTGCTCTTGCCACAGAAAAAGTATATGGATAACTGTGGGATGAGGAGTATGTTAATTTGCTTCACGATAGCAAACTTTTTACTGTTTATATGTATCCCATAATATGTTATATACTTTAAATATGCACAATAAAATTGAGTTTTAAAAAACACGAATAGTGTAACCTGCATCTCCCAAGTATAGTGTTTACCACTGGTGTTATGTGAGATCCTCTTAGATAGTTTTGATTATATGTTATTAGCCCTGCAACTATTTTAATGAGAATTAGGGAAAAATATAACTAGCATATCAACTCCGACTTCACAGGTAACATTCTTTAGGTTGAAATTGCTTTTTGAAAAATGGGGGAATGTATATAAATTAGACTAAAAATATCAAGTTAATATTTATACATTTATGGTAAAAAAAATGGCTTTATCGCATAAATGAAATGACTACAGTTTGGGAAATGTATGAACCAAATATGACTATAATTCTGAGTAAATGTGATTATTCTAAGGATTAAAATGATTTTTATTCAGCAATTATAAAATTTTCATTTAAAAAGATGGTAGATTTATGAAATACAATAAAACCTCTAAGAACACACAGTTCTTGGATTCTAGTAAATTATTTTCAGGATAGAGAGATAAAAAAATGTTATTCCATATTTATCCAGAAGTATAATTATAATCACTTTGTCTATATTGACATGGTTAAGGATAATGATATCCTTTACTTTCATAATGCTTTGCCATTTACAAAGTTCTGTCACTGACATTATTTAACTGGGCTTCCTAATAACCCACTGAGGTTCCATTACTAGCCCCTTGCACAAATGGGGAAAATGAGGCCCAGAGGGGTTAGGTAGGTGGCCTCTGCCATGGTCCACAGCCAGGGCGTGGTGGGGCAGGACTGGAACCGCATCATGTAAAATCCAAGGCAGTGCTTCGTATTCTTATCACACTTGCTCTTCTAAGTCCTGCCCATGCTGGCTGCTCTCTCTTGCACATTAAATTATCAAGTCCCTCAAGGGCACCTCTGTGTGACAAAGGAAAACCACCCATCACCTCCCCACAGGTCCCTGTCGTGTATGCTTGTGCCCAGCTCTGATTTGTTCTCCAGACTACAAAGTCCTCATGACCGTCTGTCAGTCATGACATCCTCACCTAAGTCCCTGCCATGGCTGCCCACCTTGCTTTGCATACACTCGAACCCTGCTCCACTAGACCCCGACTCCCACCTCCTGCCACTTCTGTTTTTGCTCAGTGGTCCCAGCCAGCTGCACCACCTTTGGAGTCCTCAACCAGGCCAGGCACTACTGTCTACCTGCCTAGACAATGCTGTTCCCAGCG